TGAGCAGTATGAGGAGGAACAGGCGTGTCCAGTCAGCCGTGCTCCTCCCAGGAAGACAGCTGTAAGCTGGGGGTGAGCTAACCACTCTGTGGGAGTTGTGTCACCAGGACCTGTATAGTTTGGGCTCTGGTGACTAAACTCATTTAGCAGTGTGGCGCTTGTGCAGAGTTTTAGCTCCAGAGAGCCCAAAAGTGTGTGCATGTGTGTGTTGGGGTGAGGAGGGGATAGAGACCCCTGCATGCATCATACGTGTGTGCACACGTACACACACACAGGTGGATGATTTCATGTGAACTCTCTCCCCTAAATTCTGCGTGTCCCACTTCCTGGCCGTGAGTGAACTTGGCCTTCTTATCTTTCTGAGGAGTTTTATTACCCATCTTACAGGGTTGTCATTAAGATTGTTGTTGTTAAGTACCATGGAGTTGGTTCCAACTCATAGTGACCCTGTACAGGGTTTCCAAGGCTGTAAATCTTTACGGGAGCAGAAAGCCTCATCTTTCTCCCGTGGAACCGCTGGTAGTTTCAAACAGCTCACCTTGAGGTTAGCAGCCTGATTTGTAACCACTACACTACCAGAGCTCCTTGTCATTAAGATTACATGTGATAATATGTGAACATGCCTAATAGGTAATTATTGTTGTTGTTAAGTGCTTGACAATAAATGTGGGTCCTCTTTCTCCTTCCTCTTACCCTGTATGGTATTTTTTGTTTTTTGGTTTGTTTACAGGATTCAGAAGCTAACCTGGTCTTAAATTGTTGGCTGTGTCTTTTTACTGTTGTTGAATTTACTCAAAATTAATTTATTAGGACTTAAGAAACATTGAGGGCTTTAATTTATTAGGATGGAAGGAGCTCTGATAGTGTAGTGGTTATTAATTGGGCTGAGAATTGCAAGGTCGGCAGTTCAAAACTACCAGCTGTTCCACGAGAGAAAGATTTACAGCGTGTAAATCCCATAAAGATTTACAGCCTCAGAAACCCTGTTCAGGGTCACTATGGGTTGGAACCTACTCGAAGGCACTTAACAACAACAACAAGGTACCTTAAAGCTTACTTGTTAGTGAAAGTTTTAAAAATATGAAAGCCAAGTGACACAAAATTTATAAAAACAAAAGGGAAATGAGAATGTTTTTCCTTTCTCCAGTGGTTCTCTTACATCAGAATCGCTTGTTGTTATTGTTGTTCATTGCCATTGGTCAGTTCAGACTCATGGCAGCCACCTGCAGGACCGGATTCCTGCACCTCACCCTTAGAGGTTCCCATTCTCCCATCTGATTGGAGCCTGAGAATCAGGATTTGTAACACGTTCCCAGGTGATGCTGATGTTGCTGGTCTAAGGACCACATTTTGAAGCCCACGACTGTAATCCCGAAAGACCAACATCGAGAATGGTGGGCGTGGCAAAGAACAGTGTCCGCTTGTGCCTACTCTTCTACTCCTGACCCCTCCCATCAGGATATGGGAGGTTTAAGCTGAGGTGGGGCTTGGTTTAGAAATGCAAACTCACCTGTCTTCAGGTATCTTGAGAACCTCACAGAGGGTGAGAACAGTGTGGTAGTTTTCTCAGGAGGTATCATCCTGCTGGTGCAGATGCCAGCAGACAGCGCATCCGGACACACCACACCCCCCAGAGGCTCGGCCACACTCAGCAGAGCTGGGCATTCTGTCTGAATGGGTACCCTAACCATCAGGGGCTTTCTAAAAATAAAACTTTCCAGAAGGCCTCCTTGGAGACTGTGATGCACAGCGGAGTCTCAGAGCCCAGTGTGGAGAGCAGGGAAGCACCAGATGGCCTAGAGGGCTGACAACTCAACAAGCAAATGACTCCCAGGCAGGAAATTAGCCCCTTTATCAAGTCCTCATACTCACTGGGTTAGTCAGTAAGTTCTGGCTGCATTTCCCAAAGGGCTTCGTTTCCCAAGTGAGGAGGGCTTCGGACCAGGAGCATCTATCTGGCTAAGGGCAGTCCCCGAAGGTGAAACCCCTTTTCTGTGGACACTCCATGTTTTCCTCTGGGCTGTGTTGAGAGTGCCACCTAGTGAGCAAATTCTGGAGGGAACACTTCCCCAGAAGGCCGAGCAGCACAGAGTCTATTGTTGTTGTTGTTATGTGCCGTGGAGTCGGTTCCGACTCATAGCGACCCTGTACAGGGTTTCTGAGGCTGTAAATTTTTACAGGAGCAGAAAGCCTCATCTCACTCCTGCAGAACACCTGGTAGTTTCGAACTGCTGACCTTGAGGTTCACAGCCCAATTCGTAACCACTATGCTACCAGAGGTCCTTAGCTGTGTGCAAAACGTAAGAAGTCTATAGCTGTGTGCAAAATGTAAGGCAGGCATGGAAGCATTTCTTTAGCTCCAAGGAGAAATTCCCCATGCTGCTTGTCATACACATATTTAAAGAGTTTAATGACTCACCGAGCAGATGCTTTTGAAGAGTGTTGCTAGGCACCATGCTCTGTGCTAGGTGTGGAGTTTATACAGATGGCTTGGGCATAACCCCTGCCCTTGTGGAGTCCACTGCTGGGAAAGTACAGACTTTACACAAGTAGCTACAGCAGCAGCATCACTCCCATAATAAACCACGTGCCTTCACATCAACCCTGAGTCACGGCGACACCAGGTGTATCAGAGCAGAACTCTGCTCTCTAGGGTTTTCAGTGGCTGATTTTCCAGAAGTAGGTCTCCAGGCCCTTCTGCTAAGGCACCTTTGGGGAGACTGTTGTTGTTGTTGTTACGTGCCGTCGAGTCGGTTCCGACCCATAGCGACCCTGTAGAGGGTTTCCGAGGGTGTAAATCCTTATGGGAGTAGAAAGCCTCATCTTTCTCCCGCGGAGCAGCTGGTAGTTTCGAACCGCTGACCTTTAGGTTCGCAGCCCGATTCGTAACCACTATGCTACCAGAGACTAGAACCTCCAATATTTTGGTTAGCAGTATAGCATGGCAGCGGTTTGTGCTACCCCATTCCAGTGATAACCTGTGTCTTAAGGGGACTCCCAGAGCTCCCCCTCCTCTTGCCCTGTGTTGTGTTGTCCCGTGCGGTGACACGCATTGAGGAGATTATTGGCAGAGAACTGACCAGTCTCTAACTGTCCCTCATGTGATATTAGCAGTGTGAAGGCAAACACCAAACCTTCATACCTTGTCCTTTATCAGCCCCTAGAAATGCATAAGGGACGCTCTCCACAGCCACAGCTGACAGCTGCAGGCTAGCTGTCCACAGTGCCTCAACACCTGGGCAGATGTGAGAGAGGACCTGGCCAGCTGCCACAGTTCTGCATCCTTAGTGTGCTTCAGAATCACCTGGAAGGCTACTTAAAAGCACAGGCTGCCAGGCTCCACTCCAGAGCTTTGCGTTCAGTAAGCCCAGGGTGAGATCTGAGGATCTTTTCGAAGTTCCCAGGTGATGTTGATGCGGTGGACCTCTGTGTGGCCATCACAACTTACCTAGTGGATAGATAGAAGAAGGGCGGATTGGATGACAGAGAGGCAGGAAACTTTTTAGCCACCACACCAGTGGCACAATGAGAGATGATGGGACTCTGAAGAGGGGCCAGAGCTCCTTGGTGCATGGAAAGACCATGACCTGACAGACACGGGGAGAGAGGTAGTGGGGATCATATGACTCCTTTTGGACATGGTGGGCTTGAGGTTCTATAGTGACCTTCAGCTGAAAATGTTGAAGAGGCTGTAAGAATTCAAAACTCAGGAAAGAAAGAATCTAAGTTGTAGATACAACTCTTTTTTTTTTAACTTTTTATTGTGAATTGAGTAAAGGTTTACAGAGCAGATCATCAGTCCCATATCCAAAAAATTGTACCTTTCGTGTCATTCCAATGATTGCTGTGCATTCCATGAGAGACAGATACAACTTTGGGAGTTATTGGGATGTGGGTGTAAGCTCAGGCTATGGGGCTAAATGAGATTAGTTAAAGGCAGCTCTTAAAAGAGAGATACTGGTGTTGAGCCCAGAAGGGGTTGAAAAGAGATGAGTGTCATCTTCCTGGATGGATAAAGTGAAGGGGAAGAGGATGGCAGTACCAGATGTAGAAGCATCTAGAAAGCTGAGCCAAACAGCTGACCAGTTCTGGAACCAAGCCTCAGAGGATGGGTTGTATTTGAGGCATGAGTTAGGGAAACGGGTCTACATATGTTGAGGTTGGTTTTGGGGTCCCTTGTTTTACTTTGCCTGTACATGTAAGATTTTCTTTTTCCCTTGGGATGAAGTAACTTCATGGTTCTCACACCGTGTTGGTGGAACATGATGAACAGAAAGAAGTACCTGCTTACATACACATGGGGCACAGTAGCCATCTACAATAGCAGTTGCTGTCTTAAGAGTGAACCCATGGTGGAACAATATGGTGGATCAAGATGAAGCTGAGATCATTTTGACTCACTCTTAACAAAGCCCTATGGTCCCTAGGTTATACAAATGATTAACACACTCAGTCAGTAGCCAAAAGGTCGGAGGTTTGAGTCTACCCAGTGATACCTTCAAAACAGCAACTACCTTGATGCACAATGGGATTGCCCTGAGTCAGAAATGACGTAATGGCAGCCGGTGGTGGTTTAAGCTAAACACCAAGAAGAAAAACCATGTATTCATCTTTTTGAGCATTGGGTTAAATATTAACCTAGGCCCTCCTGGGATCTTGAATCCACTGATTTTACAAAAATGGAAAGGATTTTGATCACTCTTTTTGGATTGTCCAACTCTTGCCCAACTCTGTTTCGGCAAGAATGCTACAAAGATTCCATTTCTATGAATCCTCAGATGATAACTGTACATTCCATAGATGGATGGTTTACTTTGTGATTTGTGGTATTTGCTTTATCATCTGGGTCTGCACAAATCCTGGCTTCTGAGCAGACAGGGATATTTGACAAAGCTCTGAATAAGGAAAATTAGCCCAAATCACACCATTTTTTCAGTTTCTTGGGCTACCACCAGTGGGAACAGGTGGGAACACACACTGATTTGTGTCTGTCTTTGCAGTTCTGTACCGAGCTCAACCAGCCAATCCTGCCCAACATCCGCAAGTGGAAGGGGCCCCGGGGGTGCTGGAAGGCTGTGGTTGCTGAGAAACCCTCGAGTCAGCTCCAGAAGGTACTCCACAGGCACAAGTGGGCCTTTCTTTTCATTGGGCTTTCTCCCTAATCAAGTCATCTTCAAATTGACTTTGCATATATTGTTGATGCACTTTTGTGTTCCTGCCCATTCTTTTAAATCATTGCTATTCATTTCAGAATGTCCTGCTTCTTGTGTAATGTTTAGATGGGGAATGGACGGCTGCTCAGACAGAACTGGGAGCTTGGAGTGTTGGGAACAGAAGAGACCTGTTAGGGACCCAGGAAGCAAATGGGAACAAATCTTTACAGTGAGGATCATTCCCACCCCATTGATACACAGAGTAGATAGGGATGGGCAACTTGGACATTGGCTACCCAAAATGGAGGGTCTACAAAGGCAAGAAGTGACTGGCTTTTAAGCTTTCAAGAG